ACATAGTAATTTGCTGTCCATGTCAAGCCCTGCAAGGCTGGCCAACACAGGAAAGGAGAACCACTTGGATTTATAGAAAGATCATATTACTAATAGGGTAACATAACAGAATCTTGAAAGCTTGTCAAAGCTGTTCCCAGCTCAGCTTACACCTAACAGAATTAAGGTGGAGTTGCTCTGAATCTCTTTCCATAGAAAGATGTGTCTTTTGCAAAAATCCTGATTCCTCCTTCACTTTCCCATGTTCCATCACAGGCCATATCTCCAGTCCTCCCCTTCCATGCTCCAGCTCTCACTTGAGAGGTAAATGAAAGCAACCCCACCAGTTAACCTACACTTTTACCTGCAATATCCCAGCTGTCCTTCCAAGCAATTGCTGCCCTCCACCCAGTTCCCAAACGAAAGTAGGAAGGTGCTTATCCTTGTCATTATAGATGGATATTTTTGCTTATTTATTGCTAACAACATGTTGGATTTAATAGCAAGATCTCCCCTTCTCATCATTTTGCACAGCTTGTTTCCCTATGACACCCACTCTCTTTCTTCAAAAATGAAAAAAATAAAAATTGTGTGTGGGGGGGGATTGCGCTGCCTCTGTTGTGAATTCACCAAGCCTTAACCTAAGTATTTTTAGCAAGAACCACAAATATAGAGCACAGATAGCAATCTAAGTTAAAGGATAATCTATTAAGAAAGCTCTCTGTGCTCCCATCATTTTTTTTTCACTCTCATATTGCTGCATGATAAATGCACAGCCATTTATAGAAAAAGTGTCTCATGATTCAATGATTGTGGTGTCCCTTAATATTAAAGCATGTTGCCATGGATTTGCTGATAACTTTGTCTGATTTTGAATACTATAGTCCTGACAACCTCAACTGAAATACTGTGACAGTTCTGAATTCCACAACAAAAAATATATGGTAGAATTGAAAAGAATTCCAGAGAAAGCATCCAGATTATTCATTTCCTCTATAAGAAAATTTGGACAACAGTATTTGGTATTGTAGTTCTTATTTTAGTTTACAGAAAGACTTGTAAAGAGGCCTGTCATGGAAGCAATTAATATCATGCAAGAAAGTAGATAGAATGTATTCCTTTGTCATTACAGAGGAATTTAGCTCTGCCCTTGAGAAGTGGGTGGAAGAAGAAAAACAGTTACTGGATCCTGAGGAAGTAGAAAGGCTAAGAAAGAGAACAATCCCATCTTGGCCTGTTGTCCTTAAAAAGGGCAGTGAAGGTTTTGGACAGGTTTTCAAGATTCTGTTGCTACGCAGCAATAAACTAGCATTCCTGGAATTCCTGTGGTGTCTGTTTCTTGACCTGGCCTACCTCGAAGGGCTAACAGTCATAAAACTGGAATCTGGATTCCAGGTAACCCATGGAAACTTGATAGATGATCATGGAAAGATAAAATAAGTGAGTCGTTACAAAGTATATAGTTAAACTATTATTATAATGGCTAACAATTTGATGAAGTTAAATAATTGATAGACTCTAAAGTTATTATGGCTTACTGCTTGGTTACATATTACTTTCCGGATGTCTCCAACTGTGTGTTGCTGGAAAATATAAACAGTGTGTGCCATTGTACTTACCTTATGCATCTAATAGGGAATTGAATATTAGACTAGGTAGATTTTGATTCGATCCAGTACTGTATACTGTTCCTAAATGGAGATTTCACAATTACAGGTTCTGTTGCAGTAGGATGGATTCCCAGTGAGAGACTAAAAATAAAAACACTCAGTCGATAACCTGAACTAACTTTCTCCATATATTCCGATGATTCCTACATGTGTTTTAACAACACTGAATAATAGTCAGGTTAAGGGAGGCTCAAACCTCAAACAAGAAATAATGCAAAGTTTTGTAAGTAGAGGTCAGAAAGCTCTGTGTGTGTTTTTTTTCCAAATAAGGAATAAAAATGAGATCTATGAGGTATAATAAAAATTTGAACACATCCTGACAACTGCTGAAGATAAACAATACTTGCATGTTTGTTTTTGTTAAGAAAAGCAATGCTTGAGTACCTGGTAATTGAAAATTCTGTATAAAAACTGGCTACCTTTCTCCATGCCCAGCTAGATAGGTCATCTGGAAGAGCTAAGCAGGTTCAACCTACTTAGTACTTGGATGGGGGACCACCAGCAAATTCCAGGACTGTGAACTAGACTGGAATTGGGAGGGAGCGGATAGAAGGTGAAGTCAAACCACTTCTGTATTGTTATCAAGGAAACTTCATAGGCATGTCCAGAAAGTACCAAAAATGAAGTTTGACCCTAAGACTTTACCTTTGCCTTACCTTTTCCCATGCCCAGAGTATCACAGGTGGGCATTTCTTGAAACTCCATGGTTGGTTGAAATCATGCATAAGTGTTTTATTATTAGTATAATTCTGACTATTATTAAGTCAAATAGGTTATTTAATGAGAAATGTTTTAAGTTACCTCTAGTTCAAGATTCAGCCATACACAACCTGGTGCCCTATAGATATGTTAGACTACAGCTTAGTCATTCCAAGCCAGCACATTCAGTACATCTGAAAGCTACTGGGAAAAACTGGCGGTTGTCCTGTGTTTCAGATATTACTGTTTTCGGATGATTTGGTTAGGGCAAAATATGTGTATCCTAACTACTGAGGTGGGAACCGGTTTGATGTAGTCGTCAAGGCATCAGGCTAAAAACTGCGAGACTATGAGCTCTAGTCCCACCTTAGGCACAAAGCCAGCTGGGTGACCTTCGGCCAGTCATCCTCTCTCAGCCCTAGGAAGCAGGCAATGGCCAATCACTTCTGAAAAACCATGTCAAGAAAACTGCAGGGACTTGTTCAGGCAGTCACCAGGAGTCAACACACACACCTACTGAGGTTCATTTGTCTTTATCATAATCATAATATCTCCTAAGCCTTCCAGACCCCCCCCCCCAAATGAAGAGAAATAGTATGTAGTTAAACGTAATGGTGACGTTTCTCCTTCTTAGGCCCAGGCTATGCTGCTCGTGTTATACTCCCACCTGTTTTTCATAACTGTTTCTGTCTGTGTCAGTTGTATTTTCCAGTTAGCACATGCTATCAGTCAGGCGCAGAGCTGCTGCTAACTCAGTTGTGTGTATAAGAAGATGGTATTCAAGGCTGGCAGAGTAGCTGGCAGCAACTTGCAGCTGTCAGAGGGTAAATATAATAAGAAGAAAAGTGCTGAGTTTAATATTGACTCAAAGTTGAATCTCCTGTTGTGGAAATAGAAAGTCTTGATTTTAAGTGCAACTGCTGTGGTGCTTTACCAGTGAAAGAACTGTGTGTTTTGTGCACGCTTGGAATTTCTTTTGTATTTTGTTACATGTCCCATTACTGTCCTTGTAAAAAACAGAAATTGCAGCGTTCAGCCTTCACAAGAAGTTTTTCCTCTTGGCTCAACATAGCCCTTGCATTCTGCTTTCACAGAAGCTCACTTGGTTCAAATAGTTTCATATCTCATGACAAATACTCTAATTTTACAGAAGTGTGAAATACAGTCAGCTCATCACAAGGTAGTTTTTCTGCTAATCATGCATTTACAGCATCAGATAAAAATGAAAATTCCAATTTGTCTGCTCACGTATCATACTTAATGTAAAATGGTTGCGTGACAGATGTGTCCACTGAGAATCTTGCACATGGCTTCTTGCCATGGTTTAAAAACCACTTCTAGTAGTTAAGTATGCATGTTAGAATACAGGCTACTTTCAGCCACTGTAGGCCACAGAATATAATTTATGATGAATGAATCAGGACTGAAATAATGCATTTGGGTAATTACTTCAGTATTAGAAATGGTTTACAAATTACTTCAGTATTAGAAATGGTTTACAAATGGTTTTCAACACTCTGGCCATTCTTGGATCTCCAGGATGTATATTTGCCACTGAACCATTTTATGATTAAATTTGTTTTGTGAATACACTCATAGTCTCTATGAAAGCAAAAGAAGTTAAAATTAACATGGAGCTCAAAAAACACTGAAAAGCTCATTCAGCAGAAAGTTACTGCACACACAAATCCCACACACATAGGCACCAGATCTGAGAAGAAAGTAACAAAATGGGCAAAAGAAACTGAAGAATTGAGGAACACACTGATTTTAAACTGCCAAGTTTAATAAGCCTATTACTTTTTATTGCTTTTGTTTTTTCCACAAGCAGATGCCCTATTTTTCTGTTATTTTTTGGCAGGAAATAATGGCCTTGTTGTGTAAACTTCTCAGGCTCTTCTGAGTTCAGCAGTAGGCTATGAAAGGGAGAGAGCATTGAAAATAAATAATTCTTGTGACATAGTGCTTGAATTTAAAGTGAAGTTGTGCAAAGGCTGACCCAGGATGAAGAAAGGCAATCGTAAACATCTGGTAAAAATAATTAAATTAGTTACAACACAAACTAGGGCTCATTAAGCAAAAGTCCTGTCTGAAAGCATGGTTGTAAACCTGGTGGCCAAAAAATGACCCAGCCACTCAGCCGCCACAGCACGCTTAATGTGAAAATTCCATTCATTGTTCTTCCAGAGTTTGACTTGTTTAGACACTGAATTCTGCTGGATATTTCCTGTAAGCTCTGAAGTTTATAATTTATTTTTTAAAAGAACAAATTTCAACCATGTGTTTATTTATAAAATGATGCATTCAGAATATTGGCCACATTTAACCAATGACTCGAGAAGGATGTGAACAAGCTGCTTTATTATCTGCATACTCTCATCCATGTACATAGAAAATCCTGGATGGACTGTGAGCAGTACCCATTTTCTGAAATGGTGAAAGTCTAAAAATGTTCTCAGGTTTACAAAAGTATATTTTAGCCTTCCTCTCTCTGATATATATGTGAGGGAACAATTTTATAATTCAATATGTTTTCTGATTTCCTTTTAGGTTTTAGTCGAGCAGCACTACCATTTGGTTTGGTAAGGAGAGAACTGTCCTGTGAGGGCTACTCCATTGATCTTCGGTGTCCAGGAAGTGATGTCATTATGATAGAAAGTGCTAATTATGGACGGACAGATGACAAGATCTGTGATGCTGATCCTTTCCAGATGGAGAACACTGAATGTTTCCTCCCTGATGCCTACAAAATTATGACACAAAGGTAAAAGCAGTGCTAATTAAAACACAATGAAAAATAATACATTGATAAAGATTTTATTACATGTATATATCTTGGGAAACTCCAATATACTTTCCAATGAGATCTCCCCATTTCTGGAAAAAATACACTCATGAAATAAAGCTACTAACAAGGCTAACTGATTTTTTTTTTTAATCTCTGGGAAGGAAGGGAGGGAGGGAGGGAGGGAGGGAGAAATATGATTTTTATTTCTTAGATGTTAAAGATCTACTCATAAGTTTTCTATCCAAAGTCCTATACTTAGGAGAAAGTCCCTTACACTCAGCAGAACTTACTTCTGAGTAGATATGTATAGGTGTGTACTATGAATGTAGGGAACAAACAATTCATCAACCTATAAAATACAGCAAACAGAATAAGATCCTTGTATATATACATGTAACTTAGTGGAAAAATTGATCTTAAGTCTGCTAATACAGTTCATTTGAACAGTGCTTGAAATGGCATTAAGCAGAACATGAGACTATCCCACTTGTTTTCCTTCTCTACCCACTCTCATTTTGATTTCAGTTTATAAATACTTGTTAACATTCTTTGAAATTGACCAAAAAGTGTTCACATTCTTTACTACTACAATGAAAGTATCCTTACTTGTTTGAAAAAAATATTTTACTTTAATATATTTTTTAGATTATGGTTGGATTCCAAGTGAATTCTGAAGATAATTAAATATAGAATTTGAAATTTCATTATTACAGTGGTACCTCGGTTCACGAACTTAATTCGTTCCGTGACTCTGGTCGCGACCCAAAATGGTCGCGACCCGAATCCAAATTTTCCCATAAGGTTCAATGTAATTACGGTTAATCCGTTCTGACCCCTCCAAATTTGGTTGCCAACTGATTTTGGTTGCGACCCAAATCAAATTTTCCCATAAGGTTCAATGTAATTACAGTTAATCAGTTCTGACCCCTCCAAATTTGGTTGCCAACTGATTTTGGTTGCGACCCAAATCAAATTTTCCCATAAGGTTCAATGTAATTACGGTTAATCCGTTCTGACCCCTCCAAATTTGGTTGCCAACTG